CTCTATTTGACAGAGCTTTCTGCCTCCCCCTGATCATTCCCTCTGGGCGCCACATTAATGCGGGGTCAGGTAAGGGGAGAACTAGACTTACTTTTTCTGCAGTAGTTAACCATATCTTCTTAGGGAAAGGGATGAGGGGAACAAGCATACAGCCCAAATCATCAGGTTCATGTAAGTTAAGTATTTTTCCCTCTGATTGTGCCAGCCTGTCAGTTCGAGGGGAGTAAAGAGGGAGGATTTTGGGGCTTGTGCGGCCGCAATTAGGCTGCCCACGGCTGGAGGGAGACCTGTCAGTCTCCCTGCACAAGGTAAATCAATTCTGGCCACATGCACTGCCCACGCACGTAAGTCCACCTCCTGAGTGGAAATGCAAGCCTCGCCCCCACGCACATTGCTGACCTCACTGGAAGGAAGAGGCAACAAAATGTCAACTTCACCTACCAGTGACAGGTAAGCTTCAGTCATTACAGTGATTGTGTGTATGTGCGTGTGTGTGTGTGTCTGCTAGTGAGTGAGCTTGTGTGTGCGTGTGTGTCTGCTAATGAGTGATCTTGTGTGTGGCTGCTAGTGAGGGAGCGTGTGTGTGTCTACTAGTGTGTTTGTGTGTATGTGTCCGCCTGCTTGTGCATAAGCTTGTGTGTGTGCCTGCTAGTGAGTGAGCTTATGTGTGTGTGTGCGCCTGCTTGTGCATAAGCTTGTGTGTGTGCCTGCTAGTGAGTGAGTTATGTGTATGTGTGTGCGCCTGCTAGTGAGTGAGCTTGCGTGTGTGCCTGCTAGTGAGTGAGCTTGGTTGTGTGTGTCTGTGTGTGCCTGCTAGTGACTGAGCAGGTGTGTGTGCCTGCTAGTGAGTGGGCTCGTGTGTGTGGCTGCTAGTGAGTGGAATTTTATGTGTGTGTCAGTGAGCTTGTCTGTAGTGAGCATGTGTGTTTGTCAGTGACCTTGTCTGTGGTCAGCATGTGTGTGTCAGTGAGCTTGTTTGTGGTGAGAATGTGTGTATGCCTGCTAGTCAGTGAGCTTTTTGTGTGTTTGTGCCTGCTAGTGAGTGATAATTTTGTGTGTATGTGCCTGCTAGTGAGTTAGCTTTGTGTGTGTGGGTCTGTGTGTGTGGCTGCTAGTAAGTGGGATTGTATGTGTGTGTCAGTGAGCTTGTGTGTAGTGAGCATGTATGTGTGTCAGTGATCGTGTCTGTATGGAGCATGTGTGTGTGAACTTGTCTGTATGGAGCTTTTCTGTAGTGAGCATGTGTATGTGAACTTGTCTGTAGTGAGCATGTGTGTGTCAGTGAGCATGTGTGTTTGTGTGTGTGACAGTGAGCTTGTCTGTAGTAAGCTTATGCGTGTCAGAGTTTGTCTGTACTACATTTGTGTGTGTATGAGGCTGTGTATCAATGAGCTTGTGGGGGTCAGTGAGACTGTCTGTGTCTGCTTGTGAGTATGCTTACTGTATAATTAAATGTTTTATTCTGAAAGGATCAATATAAACATAATGGAATGTGTAGCGGAGATTTCATAGCCTACCTCCACTTGTAGATCCCAGTGACGCTCAGGAACAAGTAGTTATAAATCCATAGGCAAGGTATCCAGCAGGTAAAACAATACAGTAGTATCCCAACAGCACTCCCAATAACTGGACGACACACAGTATCAGGAGCAGAACTAAAGATTTATTCAGCCAGTGGCCTTATAAAGCATGCTCCCATGCAAGGGAGGGATTTCCATTCATTAACATAATAGCCAATCCTGTTCGGGTAACCACCCACACATCACCTCCCCTCAGCCTGCATCATAATCCCCTTACCCAGGACACCAATTCCCCCCGTTTCTGGATGTACCCCTAAACCTAGGGGTACCACTTTAAATTATACATCCCCTGGTAGCTCTGATCTGGGTGAACAACATATCCAAAAATCACCCAGATCAGACCAGGGCTTCGGGAAATTCATGGAGGGAATAGAATGACCGACCGCACGGGAAGAAATAGCCGAATTGGGCTCCATGCCATGGGGCCCTGCGGTCGGTCCTGGAAAGGGAATGAATTACACAAAAGCCTCTAGCTATAGAGACTGGGGAGGGTTCGCCTGTTTCTGTCTACCGAACGAGGGGCCGTTCAGTAGTTTGGAACCGAACGGACCAGGATGGTGGAGGTCTCAGCGGTGTTCGCTTAGTCGAGTGTCCGTTTTGAGTTCCAGACACTCGACGGCAAAACACCACTGTTCGGGAGTTTTAAAATGGCCACCGCCACATGTTCGTTTCCCCGAATGGCGGTCACCCCCGAGAACAAAGGATTACTATACAATAATATGTTGCAACAGGTAATTGAAGGCACACTTCACACCGGGGAGGTCTGACTGTTCGGTAGTTTTATTCCCTTATATGTTAGAATGATTCTACCGAACAATCAGACGAATACATCACATTAATACACATACACTTTGCAATTAGACGAATACAGTATAAACTAACACAGGACAGCCCAGTGCCATCCGCTACAGAATGCATTTTAAAATGTTGATACATATGACAGAACAGCAAGATAATGCTGGGAGATTGTTCATGTAAAGTGTTGGTAGTGGGACAGGAAGCCCATATCAATATTTAAATGACACCTTTAGGTCACAACTGGTACAAGCATCAACTAGAAAGGATGCTTGACTTGATCTAATTATAGCAAATAATGTTGAACTTTTGTATAACAAATATTCAAATAGGGGAGCATTTGGGAAATAGTGATCAAAATATGTTAATTTTTTAAATAAACTCAAAAAAGAAAAAGCACATGGGGTATACTAAGATGTATAATTTAAAAAAGCCAATTTCAAAAAGATTAGGGCAGCTCTACAACATATTCATAAACTCCTTAGTAAAAAAACCACTGAGGATAAATGGAAACTATTCAAATAAATATTAGAAAGGTACATTTCTCAGTATGTACCATTGGGTAATAAATATAAAAGAAACAAATTGAAACCAATGTGACTTAGTAGAGAAGTAAAACAATAGATTAAAACTAATAAAAGGGGGCGTGGCTTGGCAGCCAAAGAAAATGGCAGCATAAACTTTCCGCCGGGGTCCCGACACGAAAGCCCCACAAACTGGGAAGACCCCAGATACCAAGAAGGGACAGCTCATCTCCTCCTTGCGCCAGTTCCTGGTGACCCCCGCGGTCTTCACAACACAGCCGCAAGGTGTCGATGGATCAATGGCGTTGGAGAATTCCGCGCCTTCCTCTCCGGCATCTGACCTGCAAATGGGAGGCACTGAAAGGACCCCATGGCTAGATCTCCTGAGGGCCTCCACTCTACGCTGGGAGCCAAGATCCGGCAGGACATCCAGGCACTGAGAGCAGATAAGCAGGGCCTGTCTGACCCTGTGAGCCACGTGGAGGCTACCTGTGACAGCCTGAGAGCAGCCTAGACTACCTTAGCAGAAGCTGCAGACACCTGCTCTAAACAGGTACGTGGCATGGCCCTACACATAGTGGATTTAGACAATGGGGGGGGCGCCGCAATAACATTAGGCTGCGCGGCCTCCCTGAAACTGAAGACTCCCCTCTCCAACTACGGGAAAGACTCCTGGAAATTTTTAATGGGCTTCTGGGCCGTGATCTCCAGGCGCCAATAGACTTTGTGAGAGCGCATAGAGCCCTCCATCCAAAGGGCCCACCAGATAGCCCACCCAGGGATGTTATTTGCTGCTTGGCGAACTTTGCCTTAAAGGAGACCATCCTTAAACAAGCAAGGGAACAACATACGCTCACTTAACGTAACCAAGACCTGCAACTCTTCCCAGACCTGTTGCCGGCTACCCTGACCTACCGACATGCCCTGAAACCGCTCACGAAAGTACTGGTTACTCAACAGATCCAGTACAGATGGCAGATGCCCACGGGATTGCTGGTTCACACACCGAGAGGTCCATTCCTGGTCCGCAAACTACATAGCGCTGGGCACGGAGCTCCAACTACCCACTATCAACATGAGGTGGCCAGACCCATTGGACATCTACAATGCCGCAAGAAACCCCTGCCTAAGACGGGCACCCGGTGGGGACACGAGGAGGACACTAGACCCTCAGGTACCGCCCGCTAGTGGGCATGACTCCCCCCTGACCACCCCCGCACCAGGCTGGCCCTCTCTAGTATGCCTCTCTAGGAAGTGCCTCAGCCTGACTTGGACATCTTCCCCACCCTCAGGTACAAACTTGGCCGACCGTTACATTGGACATCTCACACTTGCACCTAAAAAACAATACATATATATACACAGTGGCGATCTGGTTGGGTGAGGGGAGGTCTGCGGGGCCTGGGCTCACGGGGACGGGGACAAGGCAATTACCTATGTCTGTGAAATGTCTGCGCTCTGGCCCCTCCTCCCTCCCTGTCTCTCTTCTTCTCCTCCCGTAAGCCTTGCCGGAATAATTGCTGGTATTTGCATTACATAGAATTGTATACTGCATTGTATAGTACTTTGTATATGTGCCTGCACACACAACTTAGTGACCTGCTGACCCCAGAGATACGCGGTCCAGCAACACACTGATGGGTGAAGCCCAATAGGGGATTACATAGTTACATAGTTACATAGCTGAAAAGAGACTTGCGTCCATCAAGTTCAACCTACCTCACATTTGTTTTTTGCTGTTGATCCAAAAGAAGGCAAAAAAAACCAGTTTAAAGCACAATTTTGAAACAAGCTAGGAAAAAAAATCCTTCTTGACCCCAGAATGGCAGTCATATTTATCCTTGGATCAAGCAGTTATTACCCTCCTTGAATATTCTGTTCTTGCAAGTATGCATCTAGTAGCCGTTTGAACATCTGTATGGACTCTGATAAAACCACTTCCTCAGGCAGAGAATTCCACATCCTGATTGTTCTTACAGTAAAAAAACCTTTCCTTTGCCTTAGGCGAAATCTTCTTTCTTCCAGTCTAAACGCATGGCCTCGTGTCCTATGTAATGTCCGGTTTGTGAATAGATTTCCACACAATGGTTTGTATTGGCCCCGAACATATTTGTATAATGTTATCATATCCCCTCTCAGGCGACGTTTTTCTAAACTAAATAGGTTTAAATTTGTTAACCTTTCTTCCTAGCGGATATGTTCCATTCCTTTTATTAATTTTGTAGCCCGCCTCTGCACTTTTTCTAGTGCCATAATATCCTTCTTTAGAACAGGTGCCCAAAATTGCACAGCATATTCAATATGGGGTCTTACCAGTGATTTATAAAGAGGCAAAATTATATTCTTGTCCCGAGAATGAATGCACTTTTTCATGCATGACAATACCTTACTGGCCTTGGCCACTGCTGATTGACATTGCACATTGTTGCATAGTTTGCTGTCTATAACAATTCCCAATTCCTTTTCATGTGTTGTTATCCCTAATTCGCTTCCATTAAGGGTATACGTTGCTTGTGTATTCTTTACGCTGAAGTGCATAACTTTGCATATTTCAACATTAACTTTCATCTGCCATTTGAGTGCCCAGACCCCCAGTCTATCTAAATCCCTCTGCAGCAAAGTAATATCTTGCTCACATTGTATTGTTTTACAAAGTTTGGTGTCATCTGCAAACTCTGAAACATGACTTTCAATGCGGTCTTCAAGATCATTTATAAACATGTTAAATAGAAGGGGTCCCAGAACAGACCCCTGAGGGACACCACTTGCCACCTCTGTCCAGCTTGAAAATTTACCATTAATGACAACTCTTTGTACTCTGTTTTTAAGCCAATGTTCTACCCAAGAACAAGCATTTTCATCTAGACCGATTTCCTTGAGTTTGAACACTAATCTATTGTGTGGAACTGTATCAAATGCCTTGGCAAAATCCAAATAGATCACATCCACGGCAACACCCTGATCTATACTTCTACTTACTTCTTCATAGAACGCAATCAAGTTAGTTTGACATGACCTGTGCTTCATAAAATCATGCTGATTTTTGCTGATAACCATGTTCTTCTCAAGGAATTCTTGAATATTATCCCTTAATAACCTTTCAAATATTTTACCAGCCACAGAAGTTAAGCTCACAGGTCTATAATTTCCAGGCAAGGATTTTGAACCCTTTTTGAATATAGGAACCACATCTGCCTTCCTCCAATCCTCCGGAACACTTCCTGAAAGAAAAGAATCTTGAAAGATTAAAAACAGAGGTTCACTTATTTCTACACTTAGTTCCTTAAGTACACGTGGATGGATACCGTCAGGCCCTGGAGCTTTGTTTATATTAACTTTCTTTAGTTGCTGCAGCACCTTGTCTTGAGTTAACCAATTACAATTATTCTGCAAGTTTTTAGTAGCAATCATTTGCACATCTATTGCCATGGGTTCTTCCTTAATATATACAGAGGAGAAAAAGTTATTTAAAATTCCTGCCTTTTCCTGGTCTTCATTAATTAACACCCCCGTTTCAGTTTTTAGTGTACCTACACTTTCATTTTGTTTTTTTTTAGTATTTATGTACTTAAAAAATGCTTTGGGGTTGGTTTTGCTCTCTTCAGCTATCATTATTTCATTTTGAAGTTTAGCAAGTCTAATTGCCTTTTTGCACGCATTATTTGCATCCTTATATCTTTTATAAGATGCATCTGATTTGTCCGATTTAAATGCTTTAAATGCCCTTCTCTTAGTTGTAATCTCTTGTTTTACTTCTCTACTAAGCCACATTGGTTTTAATTTGTTTCTTTTATAATTATTTCCCAACGGTACATACTGAGAAATGTACCTTTGTAATATTTGTTGGAAGATGATCCATTTATCCTCAGTGTTCTTTTCACTAAAGAGTTTATGCCAGTCAATATATTGTAAAGCTTCCCTTAACTTATTGAAATTGGCCTTTTTAAAATTTTTACCTACCCTTGATACTCCCACGGGCGGCACGGGCTTCACAGAGCACACCCAGAGGAGGAGGAACCGCCCTATGGGGCTACACTATATCACGAAGGGGACCACTTGGGGAGGCGCGCATCTCCTCTTCCCCCACCCGTGGGGGTAGAGTCCTGCACGGACATGTGGGGAGGGGGGATGCACTTTAGGGGGTTGGGCTGGGGTGGTTTGGAGGCTCAGGGGGATGGTGGGGGATCCTGGGGGGGAGGGCTTATTGCTAACTCAGGCCTACAAGCTGTAAAAAGGAGACTAGGTATTGGTTCGGTTTGGAGGCTCAGGGGGATGGTTAGGGATCCTGGGGGGGAGGACTTATTGCTAACTCAGGCCTACAAGCTGTAAAAAGGAGACTAGGTACTGGTTCGGTTAAGACACAACAGTAGCACCGAGAAGTTATTGTTCCCATTGGGATTTGACCATACTCCCGGGGACCTACCCCAAGGTGGTGACCTGTTCTCCCGCCACGAGGGTGACAGGAAGAAGCCATGTTTTTTGAGTTACAACGTTTATTGTTCATTGTGATCCACAGTCATCTCAGCCGGCTGGTTGACAAGGCGCATTCCAATACCCGAGAGGTCGGTGTCTTCTGTATAGGGGGGTATCGTCTGCTCCAGTCTCTGGGTCTGGGGATCCCTACCCCCCTGTCACCGGTGCCTCTGATCCCCACCGGGGGCGACCCCTTCCATGCCCGGGGTTCCGGGGTGGCACCCATACTACCGCACGACCCCAGGTGGGGCTCTATAACATTGCACGAAGCCACCCGCTGCCCTGCTCTGCTCCCCCTACCTACCTGAGTCGCTCCCTGCCTTCACAGACCGGGGCGACACAGACGCACGCGGGACCTGATAACATGGCCTCGCACACACCCAAATACGCACCAGCCCCACTCAACTTCCTATCCCTAAACACCAAGGGTCTCAATTCCCCTGAAAAGAGGTCACACACCCTATGCCTCTGTCAGAATGTTAGAGCCCATGTGGTCTATTTCCAAGAAAGCCACTTTAAACTTGACTCCGAAACTCTGTAACCACATATATACCCAGGGATTTTACAGCCACGACCCAGATGGGAAATCCAAGGGGGCAGCAATAGTCATGTATAAATCCATACCCTTTGTGGCTGACTAGACCATGACAGACCACGCGGGCCGATATGTGTTCGTCAGGGGTCGAATCATGGATGAAACCTATACTTTTGCCAACATTTACGCTCCACATACGCGACAGGACAAATTCCTGCGGGACGCACTCCGCTCCCTTCACAACGAGCTGTCTGGTTCTAGGGGGGACCTCAATATTGCCCTGTACCCGACAGTGGATGCATCCAGAGGCCACTCATCAACACCTCTTCCCACGTTGCTCAAAGTACGCAAACTCCTCCACCAGTACAGACTTATGGACTGCTGGAGGGCGACACATCCGACAGACAGGGAGTACACTTTCTATTCGGCCCCAAATGACTGTTACACATGCATAGACTATATTTTCCTTGCATACTATTTCCTACCCAGACTACGGGACTCCGCCATAGGGGGGACGATGTGGTCAGACCACGCACCACTCACGATATAACTAACATTCATAGAGCACAAGCCTAAAACTACTACATGGCGGCTCCACGAAAAACCTCCTATCTAACCCGCAGGTGGTCCAAGACATCCAATAAACTTGACAAACTACTTCGCCAAGAAACCACCACAAGACACATTCCCCTCCTGACATGGGAGGCTCACAAATGTGTGATCCGAGAGATTCTTATCTCACACTCCTCTACCCTGAAAAAGGCAAGGGAACACACGATCCGAGAACTAGCCACCAAGATAGGGAACCTGACACAGGCACACAAACAAACACTGGATTACACACTCCTAGGGGAACTCACGAAAGCATGCAAAGAATTAGCACGGGTCCTGCGACAATCGTACACTAGGGCCCTTCAATGCACCAGCTATGCCACATGCCAGACCAAATAGCCACAGCAGTAACACGCTTTTATACAGACCTATATGCACTCCCCTCACACACACCCCGAGCTGACCTGAAATCGGGGGAATGTCGCATAAGTTCATACCTTACTAAATGCACAAAAGCCAAACTTTCCTCAGACGCAGCGGAAGTCCTGGAGGCACCACTGACTGAGGGGAAACTGGCCCTTGCCATCAAAACCTCAAAGACGGGCAAAAGCCCGGGCCTGGAAGGCCTCCCTCTCAAATACTACAAAGCCTTTTCGGCGACCTTTGTTGCAAACTGCCATTTGTAACTGTTATTTTATTTGACAAATTGCCCTGCTTCCCTGTGCTATGGAGAAGCCTAATTGCCAGCCTTCTGCCCCATGACTATGGACCTAGTGTGTATGGCGATTTGACTGTATTTGTGGGATCTGAGCGCTGTTTGGATATATTGAGCGCTCAGATCCAAGCCATCTGGGGATAGGTTGAATGTGGGGGTTCTGTTCAGTATGATAGGAGTTATGTATTTTTGTGTCTTTTTGTGTCTTTTGCTAACATGTGGTTAATGGAGTCTGCCTCTATCCCTGGATAATTGGATTACTTTCCCCATTGTCCAGGATAGAGGGCTCTGTAAAACCGGTTTGGGCCAGAAAACCATGCTGCCAGCCAGGCCCCAAAAGATACTTTTGCTAACTTTTGAACCCCTTGTCTGATTTGTGCCAGTTTTTAATATGTTGCTCCCCTGAATGGATTGATTCTAAATATGTATTTTTATGAAGATTGGATGGGTAGTTTGGAAGTTATAGTACATGTATAAAAACTGTATTTTTACTGTTCTGTTTTAATTATGTTATGTGTTTATCTGAGGGATGGGAATTTCCCCGAATGTATATTGTTCTGATTGGTTATACTGCTAATTATGTTGGTGTCTCCCTTGCATGGGCAGAATCTCATAAAAGCAGAGTGTGTGCCATTAAACATCAGATCTTCTTGACCCTCTAACTTGCAGCCTTGACTCATGTTTGTAGGGGACAGCTATAATCACTACAGGGATTGCTATGCTCTTCATACTCCCTTAGCTACTGAGTTCTTGTAAAAGCTCTTGTTCCTGATCCTGCTTCACTCTGCAGAAGGAAGAGGTTCACCTACTGCAACCTGGAGCCTGGTCGTGGGTCCAGGGCACAGAGCAGACGGCGAGATACCAGCCCAGCAGCGGTGGTTCATGGAGTCTGCAGTACTTCTGGTGGCTACGCAGTAGTTATGGTGTCTACGGTGCTGATGGTCCTTTGGTGAGCGCTAGGAGCATCTTTTTCTACGGTCCAACTTCCCGCCAGCCTGGAGGCAACCGTAACAACCTTGTCCCCCCA